CTATTTGATCTGAGGAAGTGGGTCTGGCCCACGAAAGCTCATCACCTAATAAACCATCTTGTTAGTCTTTAAAGTGCTACATAGTCCTGTATTTTGTTTCAGCTACACCAGACTAACACGGCTACATCTCTATTACTATTCTGCAAGTCACCAGGGCCTGATGAAATGCATCCTAGAATACTCAAGGAGCTGATAGAGAAGGTATCTGAGCCTCTAGCTATCATCTTTGGAAAATCATGGGACACCTAATAAACCATCTTGTTAGTCTTTAAAGTGCTACATAGTCCTGTATTTTGTTTCAGCTACACCAGACTAACACGGCTACATCTCTATTACTATTCTGCAAGTCACCAGGGCCTGATGAAATGCATCCTAGAATACTCAAGGAGCTGATAGAGAAGGTATCTGAGCCTCTAGCTATCATCTTTGGAAAATCATGGGAGACAGGAGAGATTCCAGAGGACTGGAAAAGGGCAAATCTAGTGCCCATTTATAAGAAGGGTGTAGTGGGGCACTATTTGAAACCTGCCCACTTCTAAAAGCCCCTCCCCCAGCCTTGCAGGAGGGACGACTGGACCTGGGGCTCAAAGGAATACTTTGGACAGGGGATGCAGGTCACAGGGTCAAAACATGGGAACTGGATGGGGATACTGAGCAGAGAACACTGGACAGCGCCCACTGCTCCTCAAAGCTGTCAAGGGAACCAGCAGACGCCGCCCAGAGGAACTCTGCCCGGATATGTGATACTAGGGAGGAACGAAAATAGGCCCCACAGTCGCAGGGAACCCCCCCTCGCCATCCTCTCCTTGGTGTTATAAATGGCCGTTTTAGCTAAGGCCAAGAGGAGGTTGACAAGGAGGTCCCACGACTTTGTGGGGCCATGGATAGGGTGTGCCTAAATGAAAAGGTGTGGGGAAAAGAACCGCAGCCAGTACCTCAATAAAAGGTTCTAGAGGAGCCGGAATAGGGGCTGCAACCTAGCGCATTCAAGGTAGACGTGCACCAGGTTTTCCTTCACGCCGCAAAAGGGGTAGGTATCCGGGATTGGGGTGCACTGCGCCAGGTACACATCCATGCTCACGGCTCCGTGAAGGAGCCGCCAACTAATGTGCCCAGTGGGCCACGGGATTAAGGTGGAGTAGATGCTGGCCCATCGGGGTTCCCCACCCTCAACGGGTCTTAGGTAGTCCTGCCAGTTGGTATCGGGGCGGGACACAAGGGTGGGGAAATGTAAAGTGTGGAGCATGAGTGTGTACAGATATTCTCTAGGTACGGTTTGAAAGCACACCGGCTGCAAGTTTTGCAGCTGGCTAGGGGTCCAAGAATGGGGAGGCCGAGGGGGCCTGCGGAACAGGGGCCCGATAAAAAGGGACGAAGCATTTGCAGGAAGGGAGGGGCAGGGTAGGTGAGCGGTGGGGCGTACCCTCTCGCATGGACTGCTGCAGGAAGTTGAGAGCGGGCCGTGGCAAGGCCGCCTTCATCTCCTGGAGTAGGCGCAGGGGGATTTGGGGGGGTGGAGAGCCCCATATGCTGAGCGAGTGCCCGGGGATCCACCCAATCCCCCCTGTCGTAGTCCAGAAGGTCTCCAACCTTGGTGGTTTCTGCCAGGATCAGCCTCCGGCGCACCGAGGGAGACTCCGCCACCAGCACACACAAGGCTGGTTTGTGGAGCAGGGGC